ATCCTGGTTCCATAGGGGGGCATCCTGGTTCCATAGGGGGGCATCTTGGTTCCATGGGGTCATCCTGGTTCCATAGGGTGCATCCTGGGGTGTTGGCTGCTCTTTGCTGTGGAGGTTTTGGGGGCTGGAGCCGCCTGCTCCTGGAGACCCAGGGACGTCCCCCACCCTCGCGGAGGGCGACGGCCGTGCCAGTGCCACACCTCGGCATCACCCACCCGCCGTGCCAGGATGCCAAGGAAGCTCCGCAGGGCGGGCAGGTTGAGGTAGGAGCTCTGGAATCCGTGTGCCCGTGCCAGGTGGTGCAGCACATCCACCCAGGGCTCCTGCCCCGGGGATAAGGACGTCCCCATCCCACCGCCAGCTCTGCCGGGTGACGCTCAGGCCCAGCGGGATGCAGGTGAGCTGGTCCAGCACTCCCAGATCCCACAGGGCCTGTTCCAGGTAGGCTCCTGGCTGGAATGCTGGCAGTCAGTGACATCCAGGGCCAACAGCAAGGGAGCTGGATCCCGGGAGCCAGTGCTTGGCGTGGGAAACCCGGGCTGGGAAAAGCCTCCCCCACCAAGCCACGGCTCCCCGGAGTGCTCCGTGAGAAAGGGGTGATCTCAGGCTGCATCCTGACATCATGGATTTACATCATCCAGGGACCCGGCCTGCAGGGGATGCAAACAGAAAGTATTCCAAAGCCTGGATGGATTGCTTGTTTTCTCGGGAGACCGGCTCCCCAAATTCCCATCCCTGGGATGCTCCGTGTGGGCCGAGGGCAGTGTGGGGACACGGAGCCAGCCCGGCTTTCCGAGGTTTATTTGTCTGCTCCAAGAGGGAAGTTTTGCTGGATGTGGGTTTTGCAATAAGGGGAAAGGAGAAAACACATCCTGGGATGATCTGCTGACGGGGGAGGAAAATAACGGCCGGAGATAAGGGGGGAAGGAGACTCCCGTCATTCCTGGTGGGAATGAGCCAGGCCCTGGATACGGGGGAGTCCCCGAAAGCAAAGGGAAAGAGGATTTGGGGGGGTTTAGTGGGCAGGGGAGGGAGCGGAGCCCGGATGCCGATGTCATCCAGCCTGTCCCTGTGGGGGTCATCGCACGCAGGAGCACTTAAATCCAGACAAAAATAAAGTTGATGGGAGTTCTGGGAGGGTTGTGAGTAGGAGGAGAGGGACGGGTTTGTTCAGGAGCACCACGGGATGAGCCAGGCACCGGTGGGGGGGCTTCTCACCCCTCACCACCACTGCAGAATTCCCGGGATGCACAGGAGGGACAGTGGACATGACACGGGACAAGGGGAGCAGAATGGCTGGGGGCACACAGGGACACTGGGATGGGGGGACACAGGAACACTGGGAAGGGCTGGGGGACATGGGGACAGGCTGAGGGGACATGGAAATGGGATGGGGGGGACACAGGAATGTGGGGGCACAGGTGGAACTTGGAGATCTCGTGGTGAGTGGGCAGCTGGACTCCATTTCCCTCCCCGGAATAGGGGAACCCACACCCCAGCCAAGGGGGGACACAGCCACCCCGGGGCCAGGGGACAGAGTGAGGTGGCACAGGGAGGATGGGAGCGGGGGAGGCAGGAGCCAGCATCCTTATCCCACGGGATGGCACCGAGGGGGAAGGATTGGGCTGGGGGACGTGGGATGCCGT